CATATGTTTTCTATATATAACTGTGAATTCATACCAAGACTTCCAATTACAGTCCAGCACCACAGGGTTTATTCTAACCTCCTTCTTTCTGCATTTGTAACTTCCTAAATCTGTATATATTTCAAAGGTAGCGTTACTGAGATCTGCATTGTGAGTTTGGATAGGGAGTGTGAAAGAGGGGAGTCAAGGATGACCCAAGTTTGGGCTGAAAAAAACCACCACAGAAGAAATGCCATTTACTGGGATGGAGAAGACTATAGGTGGAGAGAATTAAGACGAAGAGATCAGAATATCACACGTTGAGTCTGAGCTGTGTATTAAATATCCCAAGAGAGATGTTGGGTAGGAAGTTGGATATTTGAGTCTGCAGTTCAAAGAATAGGTCCAGGCTGAAATACAAATTAGTTTAAGACAACCAGTTAAACTTTTTGGACAAAAGCGATTATATTTCCTTAATCAATAATGGAAGCAGCAAATATATATTACAGAAAATTATAATACAGGCAAGCAAAAGTGAAAAAAATAGAGATCAGTACTGTTAAAACTTAATTCCTTATTCTTTCTGATCTCTTTCACAGATTTTTTTCCTAACATGAGATCATTCTGTAATTACTGTGTTTCCCCCCAGTTGATGATTTATTTCCATTTCCGTAAATTTTCATTTTATCTGATCCCAGACCACATTCACATTTCTTCAGTTGATCCAAAAATGTCATTTACAGCTGGCTAGTCCAAACCTATATCCATTTCAGAAACACAAATTAGTTACATCAGATTGCTCTGTACCTTGAGTCTCTTTGGGGCGGGAATCTCCTGGTTAGGACTCCAAGCTTTCACTGCCAAGGGCCTGGGTTCAGTCCCTGGTGGGGGAACTAAGAGCCTGCAAACCACGTGGCATGGCCAAAAAAAAAAAAAAGTTTGGGGTGATTTGTTTTGGGAAGTTGAGGTAGAGAGGGGTCAGAATCTGACATGAATTAAATTTAAAATTTTTGACTTTTTCCTGTGGGTGAGTAGAAAACACTGAAGATTATTTAGGATGGGTTATCATAGAAAAGGAAAGTTCTGTGAGAGAGAGAGAGGTGTGTTTCTGGGAACTGTGAGTAATTCATTAAAGGTGGAATTTTGAATTTGAAGGGGGAAGAGATGAGACTGGAAGAGAAGGTAAGATCCAGAATGTAAATGAAGACTAAGGTGTTTGGGCATTTTCTAGTAAGCAGTTGGAAATCATTGACAGATTTGATCTGAGAAATAGTTGGATACTGTTTACGTATTAGAAGATGAATTTAGCAACAATGTAGAGAATAAATTTGAGAAGACCAAGTCCAAGGCAGGATAACCAGTTAGGAGGCTATTTCAGTAGTAGTCCGGGTCAAAAGTGATGACCCAGCAAAGAGCAATGGTAGGAAGAGAAGAAGAGAGGATAAATTTGAAAAATGTTATTGGAGACAAAATTGGCTGGACTTGGAGATTTATCAAGAGGGGGTGAGGGTCAGGTAGGGAAGAAGAAGAGCCAAAAAAGACTGCTGAAATTCTAGCTAAATACAAGAGCAGTAACAGATGGAAGAGGAGGAAGATTATTAATGAAATATTGAAAAACCAAGTTCAAGGTATCTCTGAGACTTTGAAGTAGATGTGTGCATTGACTGGTAAAGGGAAATCCAAGCATGAAATCTATGGATATGGGAGTCATTGGTACTTAGGTGGTAGTAGTTAAATGTGGATAATTATGCTGATAGCATTCCATTTTCTGTTGGCTAAGCACAGTCCTAAATGCTTTACATACATTGTTTTATTTAATTCTTATAACAACCCATGAGTTTGTCATTTTGCAAAGAAAAAAAAAGTAACATATAGAAGTTAGGTAATGTATAAGACCCTAAAGCTAATAAGTGATAAAGCCAGGAATAGAACAGACTATCTGATTTTGAACCTGAAATCTTACAACTCTATGCTACGAGTGAATTGAGAAGAGTGCTCAGGAGAGAACCCTGGGGAGCATCAACATTTAAAGGAAGATGGGGACTTCACTGGTGGCGCGGTGGATAAGACTCCACACTTCCAGTGCAGGGGGCCTGGGTTTGATCCCTGGTCAGGGAACTAGATCCCACACGCATGCTGCAACTGAGAGTAGCATGCCACAACTAAGCCCATGTGCCGCAACTAAGAAACCTGCATGCCACAACTAAGGAGGCTGCGACCTGCAAATAAATAAATATTTTTTAAAAAGAAAGAAATAAAGGAGGATGATCACAAGCAGAGCTGCCTACCTATCATGTCCACCTGTGTATATATATGGAGGAAGAGCTAGAGACGTCAGAGGAGAACTAAGAGAATGATTATAACAGAAACAAAAAGGGATTACTATAGCACATTATTCTGTGTGCCAAAGCCTGGTGGAAATGATAGTTCTTTGTAGAAACAGCATTTAAAAAAAATCTCCTTTTGGGGCTTCCCTAGTGGTGCAGTGGTTAAGAATCCGCCTGCCAATGTAGGGGACACATGTTCGAGCCCTGGTCCGGGAAGGTGCCGTGGAGCAACTAAGCCCGTGTGCCACTAACTACTGAGCCTGTGCTCTAGAGCCCGCAGGCTACAACTACTGAGCCCATACTCCTAGAGCCCGTGCTTCCCAACAAGAGAAGCCACTGCAATGAGAAGCCTGCTCACCACAACAAAGAGTAGCCCCCGCTCGCTGCAACTAGAGAAAGCCGGCACACAGCAACAAGACCCAACACAGCCAAAAATAAATAGATAAAATAAGTATATTAAAGAAAAATCTCCTTTGGGTTTAATAAGTTGGGGTTTATTGGTAATATTGGTAATTGCTGTTTGAGTGAAGTGATGGCAACATAAATGAGATAGCATAATTTATATAAGCCTCCTCACATGGTAGATTGCATTTTTTAAAATAAATTTATTTTATTATTTTATTTTTTGGCTGCGTTGGGTCTTCATTGCTGCGCGTGGGCTTTTCTCTGGTTGCAGCGAGCGGGGGCCACTCCCCGCTGCAGTGCACGGGCCTCTCACTGCAGTGGCCTCTCTCGTTGCTCAGCATGGGCTCCAGGGCGCCGGCTTCAGTAGCCGTGGTGCACGGGCTTAGTTGCTCCACGGCATGCGGGACCCCCCCAGACCAGGGCCCAAACCCGCGTACCCCGCATTGGCAGGCGGACCCCCAACCACTGCGCCACCAGGGAAGCCCGCATATTTTTTAAGTACCAAAAAAGGTAGCTCCTATAATTATGGAGTTACTAGAAATTAGAGACAGTGAGTATATAACACTCTTTCAGATCCCTAATCTGAAAGATCTTAACTGATTTAGGTAAATTGATCTGGATGGGTTTACGTATGGGTACATTAAAAAAAAATAAATTTATGTGTTTATTTAATTTTGGCTGCATTGGGTCTTCGTTGCTGCGCGTGGGCTTTCTCTAGTTGCGGTGAGTGGGGGCTCCTCTTCGTTGCGGTGCGCAGGTCTCTCATTGCGGTGGCCTCTCTTGTTGTGGAGCATGGGCTCTAGGCACGCAGGCTTCAGTAGTTGTGGCACGCGGGCTCAGTAGTTGTGGCAAACAGGCTTAGTTGCTCCGTGGCATGTGGAATCTTCCTGGACCAGGGATCGAACCCATATCGCCTGCATTGACAGGCAGATTCTTAACCACTGTGCCACCAGGGAAGTCCCTGGGTACATTTTTTGAGAGAACATAATTCCCGTCTAATGATTTCTGCTTCTCTGTGAAATAGCATATTAAGCTTATCTCCTGAGAGTGAGAATGTGGTAAGAAAGGGCGCTTGACAAGAGTGGTAAAAGTTTGAAATAGCTCTTACAGCAAATGAGAGAGGATGCTGATTAAAGACATATGGAAGGAGGGCCCACTGAAGGAAGGGACTGAATTTACATTGTTTCAGTACTTCTGGTGGTATGATTTTTCTTCAGCAGAACCCAGGGGCAGAAATAAAGGTGCAGTAAAGTCGTTCAGTTAGATTGATCCAGATTTAGGATTTTGTTGAATACATGTGATAGAAAGCCTAAATTGTAGGGAGGACGAAAAGCAAATGAAGGTTTTGATATGAGTGGTTTTGATAATGGATCAGAAAGACTCTGGAATTGGTAGAGAAAGAATTGAGTACTAAAAGAGACTATATGTGAGTTAGAGAAAATAAAGAACTGAGATCTTGATGAAATTGAAGGACAAATATAATGGAATGAATGGGCGGTTGTGGTCAGAAAGGGTGATTTTAAAATGTAGAAAGAAGTGGTTCTTGGAGGTCACTGCATTTGAGGTCGAAACTAGAAAATATGATGAATCATCTGTATGGACAGTAAAATTTTTCAGGATAATAATAAAACTTAGGGTGGCTTTGCTCAAGGTTCCAGATAGTAAATTGATTGGGCCCTGTCCTGGACCTTAAAAAAGGTTGATGTGGGTGAGTTTATGGGCTCAAATTACTTATTTCCCAGGACATTCGCCTAGTGATGAAAGTGGCAGCAGAGCCTCTCTTCCAGTAGATGGGAGGACTTAGGTGTATCTGGACTGGTTGATGAAAAGAGTCTATCTGCAATAATAATGTAGAGGAGGTTAAGCAATTTGCTTGCCTAAGGTCACATTCTGATTGGATTCTAAAACCCATTCTCCTTCCACTAACCCTGGTGTTTTTGCAACAAATTGAACTACTTCAACTCAATTTTTTATCTTCCCAAATGTTTGGGAGAACAGTTTTGTTTTATTTGAGCTTCTCCAGAGTTAATGGGTTTTTTAGTGCCAAATACATACAAAGTGAAGTAGGAATTTACTAAAGGAATACCTAGAACAGAAACTTAACCTGAAGCAGTCAAGATTTTTAGGCATTAGGTTCAGTAATTTGATCCATTAGCTCATTTGTCTGTTTATTCATCATCCATCCTTGTAGTAGCAGTTATACAGTTGGAGAACACTGTGTTTGGAATAAGTTGTACTAAGTATAAATTGACTCATTTGGTCTTATTTATTGTCTTTTGTCATCTCCAGCTGCCTATCCCCACCGTTTGAATCTCTTTTACCTTGCCAATGATGTCATACAGAACTGTAAAAGGAAAAACGCAATCATATTCCGTGAATCGTTTGCTGATGTACTTCCGGAAGCAGCTGCTCTAGTGAAGTAAGTAAATTCTTACTCCTCTTTGGGATCTAAGCTTAGAAAATTTAGAATTTTAGTTTCCTGTTAGTAAGAACTGTAATAGTTGCACATGTTTGAAGATCCAAGGATATTTTGTCCAAATTGTTCATTGTAACTTTCCTGGTAATACACTTTTCTTTTAAAGACTCTTTCCTCCCTTTTTGAAAACTTGTCTGTTATTTATGCTCTGCCTCTTCTCTCCTAACTTGACCAGGAGAGTGCATCTCCTGGTCATACTCTCTGGCTGTACTTCTTTCTAACTGCTTTTTCTGTTTTTGTGTTTTTTACACATTTCCATTTTTCTTTCAGAGTCTTTCTGAAATCTTGCCCCCTTCATGAAATCTGTGTAATTAGGGAGAAATGAAAATATTTATTCTTAATTCCATATTGATTTACTCCATTAGCAAAGCTGTGTCCATCATTTCTCAAAGTGCTGGAACACTTATATTTGATCTTATTTTTGTCCTGTATTAATAGTGTTTTCCTTGTGTTTCATCCATATTTGTAAGCTGTTTGCTTGGTGTGAGAAACACACACATCTACACACAATTGGAGGATAAACAATTATATGGAAAAATCAAAATAGCTAAATATTTCCTCGAATTATGTACTTATTAGCATAATATATATTTGAATATATGATTATCGTATATTATTGATCCATTTGTTAGTATTAACCCAGTTAGAATGGAATGATCCTTGTTCCTTCCTTTGGATTGTAGACTTAAGATGTCTACTTTGGTATTACAAAAGATTAAAATGTCTTATTTTTATATACTAAGTAATAAAGATTTATACACATCAGAAGTACATAAAATAATAACAGTAATATCACCTACATTTATTGAGCAGTCATAATTGACCAGATATTATTATTATTATACAAAGTGCTTCGTGTACTTCAGGTTGTTTAAACCTGAGAACAACATTTAAAGTGGCTATTACTATTACCCCCATTTTAAGGCAGAGGAAACTGGCTTAGAGACATTAAGTAGCTTGCCTAAGCTCTCACAGCTACCGGGTTGAGGGCGGGGGGCTGGTATTTGGCAGAATTCCTACCCAAGCCTGTCTAGACCCCGAAGCTTATGTTCTTTGCCACCTAACCACTAGTCTGTGCTGCTTCTTTACAAATATAAATCCAGTATAATTTTGAGTAAGAAAAGCAGTGTGCTACATGATCTCCACTACTTAAGAGTTTCTGCTGCAAATATCATTATAGTCTTAAAAACTTAACCTAATGTATCCTATACTTAGATTTCATGACCTAGTTCATGGATTAATATAGGGTTGTCACCTTTTATTTTACCATGTAAAGATATTTTTAAAAACAACTACTTTGTATTACTATTTCACAGAAAAACGTAGGAATGGCATAATCTCAGAATAAAGTACAGTCCTTTAAAATTTTAAGCTCTGAAAATGTTTTTAACTCAATGAAGGATATCTTCAGAAACCTATGATAAAATCAGACTTAATGGTGAAACAATAAAAGCATTTCAGGACAGTGATGCCCTCTATCATCATTACTGTTCACCATTATGTTGAGATTCCATTCATTTCTAAATAAATAAATAATGAGAAGGCATTTAGAAGAGATAGAATTATCATTATTTGCAGATAATAGGATTACCTACTTCAGGGGTGGGCAACCTTTTTCTATAAAAGACCAGATAGTATTTTAGGCTTTGCAGGCCATAGGATCTCTGTTGCCACTACTCAACTCTGCCATTCTAGCATAAAAGCAGCCATAAGCAAATGGGTGTGGCTGTGTTCCTAAAACTTTACTTACAAATCAGGCAGCTGGCCAGATTTGGCTTGAGGTTTGTAGTTTGCTGACCCGTGGCCTACATAGAATCAACTAATAAGAGAGTTCAGTTAAATAGCCAGATTCAAGTTCAACGTAGAAAAGCAGTAGATTTCCTATATATGCTAGCAGTAACCAATTAAAAATGTAATTACAAAAAAAGATTCCTTTTGCAACAAGAAGTACTGCCTCCCCCCCCCAAATAAAGGAAACCCCACCCCAAAATAAATATAATAAGAAGTATGTAAGGCTTTTATAGAGAAAGTTTTATAAGAAGACCTGGATAAATGAAGAGATAGATACATACTTTTTTTTTTTTTTTTTTTTTTGGTGGTACACAGGCCTCTCACTATTGTGGCCTCTCCCGTTGCGGAGCACAGGCTCTGGACGCGCACAGGCTCAGCAGCCATGGCTCACGGGCCCAGCCGCTCCACGGCATGTGGGATCCTCCTGGTCCAGGGCACGAACCCGCGTCCCCTGCGTCGGCAGGCGGTCTCAACCACTGCACCACCATGGAAGCCCGATACATACTTTTGAAGGGAAAGATTTGGTATTGTTAAAAATATGATTCTCTCCCAATATGTAATCTGTAAATTCATTGTGTAATCCCAGTCAGAATCTCAGTAGGGTTTGATGTGGAAGGATATATATTCAAGATAATTGTTTATAAGAACATCAGAGTCAGAGTTCCCCTATCAATTATCTGTATATATTTTAAAACTATAATAGAATCAGGAGTAGAAGACTATATCAGTGAAACAGAATATATTCTCACTTACAAAGAAATTAATTATAAAGTATATGATAAATGAGAGTATATTAGGATATGAGCTTTAGTATTCCATAAACAACCCCATCCCATCCCCCTTTTAAATTTCTGTTCATGGTTATACTTTAGACTCATTTCTACCCTTTTGTGAATTCATTTCTCTTAATTTAAGGCTATCATTTAAATCCCTTTAATTGAGGAGGGGCAAATGTTTAGAAGTTCCAGACAGTTAACCCAGGTGAGTGAAGTGGGTGGACTGTAAGGAAAAACCCATCTAAAAGGCAACAGCTACTCAGCCCTAGCCTGTGGCCATAAAGAAACATGAGTTCACTGTTGACCTATGCTTTCAGACCTTCCAAAGACTTTCTCATTTTTTAAGCTAGGTCAAAATCTAGATTCTTATATGAAGCCTCCCAATTTTTAAATGTGTGAAGCTAAATCACATTCTAAAAAATTTATTGCTAGCCAAACAAAACACATCTGATGACTAAATTTTGGAGTTACAAATAAATTTTAGTAAGTGGGTGAATTTGCAAATACAGAATCTGCAATTAATGAGAATCAACTGTATCTAGAAATAAATCTTAACAAAAGATGTATAAGATCTCTATTGAAAAAATTATAAAACATAATTGAGAAACAGTATAGAAAACCTAAAGAAATAATTTGTGGATAGGGAAGACTCAATATTTAATGTCATTTCTTCCCAAATTGATTTATAAATCCAAAGCAGTCTTAATTAGGCTCTGAGTAGTGTTTTTCCCCCCTATTTTATTAATTGATTTTGAATTTTGTATGGAAGTGCAGAGAGCTCCTTCTTCCCCTTCCCCCACAAAGAGAAAGCCTAGAAACTCTTGAAGAACAACAAGGTGGGAAGACTGGCTCTACCAGATTTCAAGACTGATTATAAAGCTACGATAAATAAAACAGTGTGATATTTGCCCAGAGATAGCCAAAGAAACTGGTAGAACGTAATACAAAGTCTAGAAACAGACCAGTATATATACTTGGTCTGTGTATGAAACTATTAGGTAGTAGAAAAAGAATAACTTTTTCATAAATATTGCTGGGACAAATTGGCTATATAGAAAAAGTTAGATCCCACTCACATCATACACAAAAATCAATTGCATATTAAATACTTAAACATGAAAGAACTACAAATCTTTTGAAGACAATATAGGAGAATATTTCATGACCTTACCTCATAAGATTAATAAATACAGCTACATTAAAATGAAGACCCTTCCATTTAATTCAAAGACACTATAAAGAGTGAGAAGACAAAGGGCTTCCCTGGTGACGCAGTGGTTAAGAATCTGCCTGCCAATGCAGGGGACATGGGTTCAAGCCCTGGTCTGGGAAGATCCCACGTGCTGTGGAGCAGTTAAGCCAATGTGCCACAACTACTGAAGCCCGGGCGCCTAGAGCCCATGCTCCACAACAAGAGAAGCCACTGCAATGCGAAGCCCACGCACTGCATCAAAGAGTAGCTGCCACTCACCACAACTAGAGAAAGCCCGCATGCAGCAACGAAGACCCAATGCAGCCAAAAATAAATTAAAAAAAAAAAAAGTGAAAAGACAAGCCACAGAGTGGGAGAAAATATTTTTATGCAGTCAACAAAAGGTTCATATCCAGAATATATAAAGAATTACAAAATAAGAGAAAGACAAAAAACTTGAAGATTTTAGTTTTACCTGGCACTTGTAGAAATCAAATCAGAAATTATTTAAATATTTATTAATGACTTTTAAAACAATAAACATTAATAACCAACACTTAAAATTTTAGTGAAAAGAGTGGTGGTTTTTGCATTCTTGCCAGATCTCTTTAATGTCTGGCTTAATATCAGACAGCTATATTTTCTTACCTGCTTTTTGCATTCAGTCTGTTCTGATATCATGTCATATAGCCCTAGAACTGCTGAGACATATCATTACATATCATATAAGTTAGGTCCCAATCAGGAGAGATAAATCACATATCAGTAATTTAAACAGGGAAAATTTAATATGAAGAATCGTTAAGTAGGTAAAAGGTAGCTAACTACTAGAAAGAATAAACTAACTCTAAGGTGTTATGGAATAGTATCTGCTGAAAGCAGCTACTACCTCTGAACCTGAGGGAAAAGTAAATAAGGACTCACCCCACCCCACCCCAAGCAAGATTCAGACCTGAGGAAAGAGTGGATTGCTGTAAGAACATGCTACCTGTCACTACTGGTTAAGAAACAGGCTGGAGAGCACTCACCGCTGAACTACAAAAGCTATGCTAAAATGCACCCAGGATGCCTCTAAGCTGATCCACTTGAAAATAGAACACCAAAAGAAGAATCCGTACTGCCTCTTCTAGCCTCTCGGTGTCACTCTAGGGCTCTCTGTTGTCAGAGTCCAACACTGAACCAAG